CAATACACAGTCATACATGAAGGACAAAACGCTTTTCCTTGCATGGTACCATAAACTGATAATATGAACCCGGATACAAGCGGAGATTAATGCAGTTATTTTCCGGGAGGGAAATACTTTTGACAATTTCTCCAACATAAGTACATGTATTTTCCAGTCTTATAACTTCTCATTTGAAATAATGAAAATTTAGCTTTACTATACAACAAAATCCTGTTTATTTTCCAAATTCTATTTCAATTGCGATTTTTAATTTATGAATATGCTATTCAATATCCTGATATTAATGTGGAATTTATCATTCTATACATTCAATTAACCCAGAAACCCTTCGATGAACAGCTTGAGTTTATTTCTTGGATATTAAAAATATTCACCATGATCGGTATATAACGGAAAAATCTGTAGACAATTCAGTGTGTAAAAATGGCCTAACAATTAATAGACAGTATGAAAAACGTCAGTCAGCATTTGACTTAATAATAGATCGTATTTGCTGAAAGGTCATTGTATCGGCCAGAGAACTTACGAAATGATGACTTTAAACGCGACTGTTGATATTCTTGTTTCATCAACTTCTTTGTCAATAACTTACCTCGCTTTAGAAATTGTTCCTACGTAGAGCATACTCTTGCGTATCGAATCAACTGAGAGATATAAACCCAATATGCAGGTTATAATGGTATTTTGTTAGATAGGTAAGGGAAGTTGACGACTGAAAAGTGAAAGTAATCACGTTTATCATAAAGCCTTGTTGTTTGGTTACCATTAACGTCTTTTTCTAGCAAAGTATCCATATATAAAAAATATGTATCAGACTATGTGGTATCTTTTATTTCAAGCTCACTGGGATGTATCGTGTCAATATATGAATGGAAATAACTATCGTTAATTGATAATACGTCGTCAATATATCTAAATGTCGAGTTGAAGGCTTCAACAAGTGTTTTCTTCTTCTCATGTATCAGATTTTGAATAAATTCTGCTTCATATGAATACAGAAATATTATAATAATGGGGCGCCATTGGTACTCACGGGAATTCCAACAGATGGTTGGAAGACCTGGTCTCCAAAACCACATAAATATTGTCAATCAGAAACTCTAGCATCTTTTTTATATATACTTCAGAGTACTTGTGTGTACAATCAGAATGTTTTTGACACATACCAAAACAGATCCATCGTGATCTAAAACAATCCAAAAAAAAAAACAAGAGGCCCAGGGGCCACATCGCTCACCTGAGCACTATGGCTTGGAAAAAGCAGAAATCATTTCAATCTTGAAAGGTTGAAAAGTTTAAATATAAAAGTGGTTGGGGGGGGGGGGTGTCAGGAATTGAACAAATTTGAATCTACATTATCTGAGGATGCTTCCATTTAAATATGACCAATCATGGCTTTGCTGTTCTCGAGTAGAAGATTTTTAAAGATTTAACCTATGTATTCCTATGTAAAACTTTGATCACCCATTGTGGCCCCACCCGATCCCCAGGGGTCATGTTTGAACAAACTTGAATGTACACTATCTAAGAATGCTTCCATATAAATATGACCAATCATGGCTTTGCTATTCTTAACAAATTGTTTTTTTTAAAAGATTTTTACTATGTGTTCCAATGTAAAACTTTGATCGCCCATTGTGGCCCCACCCTACCCCCGGGGGTCATGATTCGAACAAATTTGTATGTACACTATCTGAGGATGCTACCATATAAATATGACCAATCATGGCTTTGCTATTCTTAACAAATTATTTTTTTTTTTTTTTTTTTTAGAATTTTTACTATGTGTTCCTATGTAAAACTTTGATCGCCCATTGTGGCCCCACCCGACCCCCGGGGGTCATGATTTGAACAAATTTGAATGTACACTATCTGAGGATGCTTCCATATAAATATGACCAATCATGGCTTTGCTGTTCTTGAGAAGAAGATTTTTACTATGTGTTCCTATGTAAAACTTTGATCGCCCATTGTGGCCCCACCCGATCCCCGGGGGTCATGATTTGAACAAATTTGAATGTACACTATCTGAGGATGCTACCATATAAATATGACCAATCATGGCTTTGCTGTTCTTGAGAAGAACATTTTTAAAGATTTTTCCTATATATTCCTATGTAAAACTTTGATCGCCCATTGTGGTCCCACCCGACCCCCGGGGGTCATGATTTGAAGAAATTTGAATCTACACTACCTGAGGATGCTTCCATATAAATATGACCAATTATGGCTTTGTTGTTCTTGAGAAGAAGATTTTTAAAGATTTTTCCTATATATTCCTATGTAAAACTTTGATCGCCCATTGTGGCCCCACCCTACCCCCGGGGGTCATGATTTGAACAAACTTGAATCTACACTACCTGAGGATGCTTCCAAGTAAATATGACCAATCATGGCTTTGCTGTTCTTGAGAAGAAGATTTTTGAAGATTTTTCCTATATATTCCTATGTAAAACTTTGATCTCCCATTGTGGCCCCACCCGACCCCCGGGGGTCATGATTTGAACAAACTTGAATGTACACTATCTGAGGATGCTACCATATAAATATGACCAATCATGGCTTTGCTGTTCTTGAGAAGAAGATTTTTAAAGATTTTTCCTGTATATTTCCTATGTAAAACTTCGATCGCCCATTGCGGCCCCACCCTAGCCCCGGGGGTCATGATTTGAACAAACTTGAATCTACACTACCTGAGGATGCTTCCACATAAGTTTCATGTTTTCAAGCACAGTGGTTCTTGAGAAGAAGATTTTTTAATGATGCCATTAATTTTTCACGAATTCTTAATTATCTCCCCTTGGAAGAGGGCGTGGCCCTTCATTTGAACAAACTTGAATCCCCTTAACCCAAGGATACTTTGTGGCAAGTTTGGTTGAAATTGGCCCAGTGGTTCTTGAGAAGAAGTCGAAAATGTGAAAAGTTTACAGACGGACAGACGGACAGACAGACGGACAGACGGACTACAGACAAAATGTGATCAGAAAAGCTCACTTGAGCCTTCGGCTCAGGTGAGCTAATAATAATAAAAAATAAAAATAAAAAAAAATAACAATACAATGATTGGCGGTAAAAAAAAAACAAACTATATAAATCATAAAAATGATTTTAATTATGATACACACAGATTTATGATCAACTTGTTATATAACAACATTGTTTACATAGTGGTAATCTTTTCTATGCCGCATTTGATTTGCAAAATACCTTCTTGAGTTACTGAGTATTTAACATACCAACTTTAAAATTTGTAACACAAAACAGAAAAAATTAAAATGAAATTACGGAAAATCAATAATGAACAATATGTTTAAAGTTCTAAAGTATATTGTATGATTAAAAATCATTCAAATAAATTTTATATATATATATATATATATATATATATATATATATATATATATATATATATATATATATATATATATATATATACGATACACTCAGGAAAAAAATATTTTTAAAACAGTTTATCATCGAAACATATTGTAAGTTATCTTAAATAGCGCATTCTTAAATACTACATGTATAACGATATGAAAGCAGGGTTACCACTTACAGTCTTCCTGTAACGGATATAAATATTTAACAAACTGTTTCCTATAAATATCTAACGTTAAAAAGAAGAGTATTAATAATTTTTGTTTTTCAAAAAATGCTTCATTGCAAAAGTGAAAGAAATAGTGAAACAAGGAAAGTTCTATTTTGTAACTTGAGAAACATTTCTCAAATTTTAAAAAAAAAAAGTTTTCAAAAGTATTTGAAAGCATGAATCAATATTTTGAATTAGTTACGGTGCAGGATTCACCAAATGACACAGGTAGGTACATGTACATGTGCAACCAAAATGCATAATAAAAAAAATTCAATAAAAATATTTTTTCAAATTATTTCCAACTAAAAAATCAGGCAAAAACAAACCTGACATTTTTTTCTTGATGATGTGACTAAAATTATGGACATTTTTTCTCCAATGAATTTCCTTGATTTTTGTATTTGCTGATTTTGCATTCAGCTGGTGTTATTTCAGACCTACTTATTTGTTTTCCTTTTCGATATTTTATATTGGGTCAGTAAATAAATGATCGGGAAGAACAGACAGGTGTCCATACCAAATATTAAGATCGCAATTGATAGACTTGTTCAATCACTTGAAATTAAAATGTGCCTCAGTAAATTAGCTAATGTCCTCAAAATTGTGGTCATTAAACACAGAGTTTTGATTTTTGTCCAATAGTTTGCAAATTATTTTGATTCAAGGTTTATATAATATACATATAATAATAGAGTCGTGTGTAGACTCTACCCTTGTCATAAATTATAACTACTTAAAATCCACTCAATATTAAACAAACATGTGAAAAGTAAAATGAATACAGGAAATTGATAGCATATTTTTACTTTAAATTGCAGATCATTTCATGTAAAATTCATTTCACACTGGTATTCAAAGCTTCTCATCAAAAAGATCCCTTTAGAATTGTAATAGTCGTTGCAAACTTCATCGGCAGTTTTCGCTGACATATTACTGGCGATGGAATTTGCAGCGATGGTTGCGATAACATCAGCGTGGGAGGTAAGTAAAAATGGAAAAAATAATAATAAAACTGTTTTCAAAAAAATGTTATTAAATGTTTAAATATTGTTTAATATTTATACATGGAAATAATAAACAATTTCACAAGTAATTTAAATTAACTAACAACAGATATTATGCATACTAAATTCATGGAAATTATTTGTGAAAATTTATGACACTGACACAGTTAACATATAACAAATATAACATATGCCGAAAAAAACCCACTCCATACTATCTTTTTAAAATAATAATTGAATACATGAAAATGAAAACATAGATGTATTTATTTGTATCATGATAAGCACTGACTTCATTATTTATTTATTAAGGTCTCAATAATTAGAAAACCAAACTTAAACAAGTTTTCATCTCAATAAAAATTAACATAATAATAGATTCATATAAAGGACAGAAATGATAGATAGTAAAATTGTTTTTAAAATATGGATATAGAAATTATATGAAACAAAACTTCATTCAAAAATAATCAATTTCAAAACAGTAATATAGAGGATATTCAATGTTTTGAAGTTGGATATGGAATTTATTTCGCAAGTGGGGCAGGATTCTTTGAGATTTTTCCGATTGCGAAGCACGAGTGAAAATATAAAAAAAATCGGTCTCACGAATGAAATAAATTCCACATTCAACCTACAAAATATTAGAATTTCTGTTTATTGCATTTTCTTTGATTTTCATTTTGCCTCTGTCTTTTCGTACCACAGTGTCATAGGCTGTGACGTCATAGTAAATGAGAGGTTGGGACGTCAAAACTTATGGATTTTGAGATTGATAAACATTGTATACATTAATTTCAACAACACATTGGAGAAATTTTGGCAGTTTAATATTTATCAGGATTATTAATTCACTCTTATCTTAAAACAGGCCTGGGGGTATTTTTTAAAACACTCTTTATGAAGGGAAGGGAAATCGCGAGTTTTGCCAAATTTCTGAAATTCTTTCACACTGTGACAAAATATCACTTTGGTATTTCACCGTTGAAAATGTAATGAAACAAAATACATGTGTGATTCATATTCCGGTCGTAAATTTCAACATACTTAAACAATTTTAACAGTATTATAACATAAACTCTCTCTCTCTCTCTCTCTCTCTCTTAATCAACAGTCGTTTCTAAGGAAAGTGTTAAAACTAAGCCTGTAAAGTAAAAATATAAATATATTAAAAACAAAACTATTCCTTGCGTTCATAGCATTAAGGTATTGATTCAGTGGCACATGATTCTTACTTACGACAATCTTATATAAAATAGAATATAAAGACATAGCATATGCAATAGAGAGTAAAGCATGTGAAGAGGGGAAAGCAAACTGATACCTGTTTCAGCACTTTTGATCTGCCTATGTATTGCAGAGAAGAAAGCAAAGGAGATGTTGAATATATATTGTGGATGTTTCATGTTGGAAAGACCTGCAAATTTTTTAAAAATACAGTTATGTAATTTATTGCAACCAGTGGAGAAAGAAGCACAGAGCAGTCATTTGTGGATTATAAGCCATTTTAAAGTCGATGAAATATAGGATAAAGGTTATGATGGTAAAATTAACGGCATTGATATTATTAACAATAAAATGAATATTTGATGAAATTTAGGATAAAGGTTATGATGGTAAAGTTAATGGCATTGATAATATTAACAATAAAAAAATATTTACCTTTAATTACAGTTTATCACCTGTATCAAATTGGCAATACTGATCATTAAGGCTATAAACCTCTAAAGGTTGCTTAATTCCATAATATTACTGACTCTAAAATATGTCTGAATACTGAATTGTCTGATTTTTTTTTTTTTTTTTTTTTTTTTTTTTTTTTTTTTTTTTTTTTTGCTTACGCTTTGCTTGTTATTGGATGCATTAATGTCGAAGCATCGGTGAATTTTCAAGAATCATATTAATAGAATTAAGTCGAAGGCATATTAAGTGATAATAATGCAAAATGGATAAAACGACCACTATATTTTGAATATATATAGAATTAAGTCGAAGGCATATTAAGTGATAATAATGCAAAATGGATAAAACGACCACTATATTTTGAATATATATAAATAAATATACATATAAGTACACATAACAATTGAATTTATATTAATGACAACTTTTCTATTCGCCAATTTTTGGTCGTTAATAATCAATCCAATGAATTCTGAGGTAGACCTTCACAACAGAGATCTTGTAAGACCTTTGAACTATTTCTGTCCTAGATAGTTTTTAATTTGATTGCCCCTTATGGTCCCACCTAAACCTGTGGGTTATGAATTGAACAGACTTGATTCTACACTATCTGAGAATGCTTCCATATAAATATGACTAATCATAGCTTTGCTGTTCTTGAGAAGATTTATAAAGATTTTTCCTAAATATTCCTATGTTAAACTTTGATCCCCTATTGTGCCCCCACCCTAACCCGGGGGTTATGATTTGAAGAAACTAAAATCTACACTAACTGAGGATGCTTCCATATAATACGAGGATGCTTTCATATAAATATATCTAATCATGGCTTTGCTGTTCTTTTGAAGATTTTTTCCTATATATATTCGTATGCAAAAAGTTGACGGCCTATTGTGGCCCCACCCTACCCCTGGGGCCATGATTTGAACACATTTGAAACTATATTATCTGAGGATGCTTCCATATTTCCCATGATCCTTTATTGCCGCCTTACCCTATCACCGCGGTCATGATTTGAATAAACTTGAATCTACTCTATAAAGTGAAGCTTTCACATATGTTTCATCTTAGTTTGGCCCATTGGGTCTTGAGTAGAGGATTTTTGAAAGATGCCACCAAAATTTGCACAAATTCTTAATTATCTCTCATTAAAAAAAGGGAGTAGTTCTTCAGTTCAACAAAGTTGGATCCCCTTCATAAAAGAATACTTTGCCCAAAGGAGAATAGGTAAAAAAAAAAGAAAAAAAAATGTTTACAGACAATGCACAACACACGACAGACAGACGCAGGACACTTCTCGATCAGAAAAGCTCACTTGAGCTTTCTGCTCAGGTATGCCAAAACAATCTAGTCTTTAACATTGTGAATTTTACGCAGCATAGTACAAAGTGTTGATTTTTATTGTGGATAATGAAAATTTTATATTGTCAAATATTCATTGAATTAAAAATTTACTTAAAATGATATTTTTAAGAAATATCAAGTAATTGCTCCCTTGTATGGAAACAAAAAAATTTTCGTTTCATTGTCCAATGAAAATTTTACAACCATCTTTTATTTATTAAATTCTTTCAGCTGTTTAAATATCAAATATGCAGCTAAAAAGAATTTTTCAACCTAAAATGTTTTAATTTAATGTATATTTTGAAAATAAATGTATTGCTATAAAAAAGGAGAAACAAACAGAAGAGTTTTTCAAATTTACAATTCTTGAATTCACGATTGTTCCTTTTTACGTTCTAGCCCTTCGTTGCTCCTGTTTTTCATGAATAACAGCCTTTAGTTAATACTCCTTGGTATGCTGCGAGGTAAGTTTTCACAGAACGTTCATGGAATTGAGCACCATTTCCTCTAGAGTGACTTCCATATATATTTTTTTAAGTCGTTGAAATGTTTTGAACAAAGGTCGATCTTCTTTATCAACTCTAGATGTTTTCAGTTGTCTTTAAATCAAAACTGTTTCCCGGCAACGGAAGTGTAAAAGCTGCATTGAATTGCCTTTGAGAAACTCGTGCTTTTGGCACGATGCTAAATACTAAGATAAAAATATTTTTTATAGGAAATACTACACAAGCACTACATGGTACATCATTCAGTATCTCTAGACTTGTGAGCACAAATTTCTCAAAGAGTGCGGTTTCGACGTTTTCGTGACAGGAAACAGTCAAGATTTTATACCTAGATGAAAAATCTGAGGTCTGAAAGAAGACATTTGGTCAAAACATGCCAACGACTAAAAAATATATGTTCAAGACACTCAAGTTTGAATTGTGCTCAATTCCTAAATTTGAAAATTTAATTCATAGCACACCTAGTAGTATTAAGGCTGTCCTTCCCGCAAAAGGGAGAGTTACTAAATACTACAAAGTAAAATGTAAATTATGAATATACAAATTATAATAAAATAAAAAAGAAATCATATTTTTTGTTTGTATTTTTGTTTAGTAGCAATACATTTCTTTCTAATATGTGCATTTGTTCACAACAGCATGTTTGTTTAAAAAAAATGATTTAACAAATTTCTATGTAACAGTCTTCCAATTTACCTTTGATACGGAAATTCCCATGGTCCATAGCAAAGGTTTGTCCGTCTCAATAGTCACACTATCTACTGTATCATCGCTCAGTGTGTTGGACGTACTTATAAGCCCTCCAAATTGCATGACCTCTTTTTCTATAACGACGTTCAAATAAATGATCACAGGAATGGTGCTTAAGATAAATTATTAAAACATAAGTGTAGAAGAATGACACCTGCTCAAGTAATGTAAGTACTAGCTAGATTAAAATAGATATGTGATATTACCCCCTAAACAATCACAATATCCTCAACGTCAAGTCTGAATATACGTCTTTTACAGACAATACTTGAAAAATCCGATCAAGTAAAAGATTTTTTTCTATATGTATCTTTAGGCTTGTTCCTGTTTAATGGTTATATTTATATTAATATTTTAACAACACTTGGATTTGTCTACACTGAAAAGTTCCACTTCAAGTAAGAAGCCTTTTAGATCAACATAATCGAGAAACAATTGGCCAGAACTTACATATAGTTGTCCGTATATTTGTCATGTTGTATATAAAAATAATCTATGATTTGAAAAGAATAAAGAGAGAAGGCTAAGGGAGAAAAAGTTCATATTACAGACATTCCATATTTGATATTTTGACCTGAATATGTGTTTTATCAAATGATTTCTATGTGGATGAACAGATATCTTTTCCTAAAAAAAATTTCCAATATCTATACAATGAACACTATATATTGTTGTACCTTTAAAAATTGTTTCTTGTATGAACCTATACTAAAAAAGTCTTACAGCTTAAGGAAAACAGTTTAGTTCTTGGGTTCGACGAAACACATGCTGCACATTATCACATCCCATCTTCGATCTAAGTAAATGATTTCACATACAAATTTCTATTTAAGTTATAAATCTTTATATGGCATAATTTTAACACGTAATCTACAGTGTAAAAAAAGGATAGGGGTACTTTAACCTTTCCTAATAAATAAGACTTAATTATTTTTATCAACAGTTCTATTATATCCATCCAAAACAATAAAAGCTGCACAATAATACACATGTATATGTATTGGTGTGTATGTGTGTCTGTGTGTGCTCGCTTTATTGTTAAAATAAAAAGAAAAAAAAATGTTACAGTAACTTGGTTATGTATATAAACTTTCAATTTATAGGTCTTGCTAAAAACTATTAATTTCATTTTATCACTGTTCAAAAGACTTGAGTTAAAAGAAACCTAATCACAAAAATCATCCGCCAAACTCTTTGACAAAGGAATAGAACAATAACTGTACATGCTTCATAAAACATATGATTTTTCCAAAAAAAATTTCAGCCATGTATAAGAAAAAAATCTGTAGAAGTGATAAGCTATGAATTATTTTTAATATAACCTTTTTGCATATAGACACAACAATAATAGGCATTAAGTGGACTCTTATAAAAAAGTGTTTTTTGACAGGAAAAAATAAAATTGTTCTGCTCCACTCATTGTTTTGTGTATTCCCTTCATTGACAATGACGGAAAATTTATAATAATTCTCAATATCTTTTAAAATATCACAAAAAAATCACTTAACATGCCACTTATAAGAGGGAAGAGATCCTTATTATCCACAAGTGTAGGGAAAACTCTTATATAATTATTTTAGATATACTTAAAATACATGACGATTTTCTACTTATTGTTTATCGCATCTCATTTACTCAGTGTGTGAAAACTTGAATATACATATATAGTCATACGAACGTGATCTAAATATAATGATGCAAACGTGATCCTGGCCAGATAAGGATGCAAGATCAATGTTGTATATTGCCTGCTTACTCTGGGGTTAAAATGATTGATATTTTAACCCAATGTAATGCATATGAACACGCAAGGGAAAATAACATGAAAAAAATCAAACCTTAATTGTCCTATCTTATTATAATTCGATTTAAACTAAATAAGAATAAGTTTCCATGATAAAATTTAAAATGCATTCACATTTTCAGTTTTTTTTATTTTACTGTTTATATATTATATTTAAGATAATTATTGAATCAACAAAATTTTCTTTATCCAGCTGCATTTACTTTCGATGTCACAAATAGTAAAACATACCCTGATTAAAGTCAGACATTCAAAACATAAAAACATATTTTAGAAAAGAAAAAAGTCTTTTATTATGAAGAATATGTTTCTACAATAATTTTTCAAATGATTTAATCAACTAAAAAATATTTATCGGTAAGACATAAATATATACTAGTATAATTGAATCATTTTAGGTAGTGTAAATATTCCCTAGACGTAGTTTTGTGAAGTGATACATCACAAAGATTAACTCCCTGCAAAAATTACCACGCTCACAACATTAAAGAGCTACAATGTATGTTCTTTTTTTTTTGCATAAAATTACCAGGTATATAGACTGTCATTAAATACAATCTATCATTAAGTCCAATGTTGACTGACGTTTTTCATACAAATTGTTAGGCGGTTATTTTCACACTGATTTTATCGTTTGCCCGATTGTGACAAGGTGCACATGGTGGGTGTGACCGGTCGACAGGGGATGCTTACTCCTCCATGGCACCTGATCCCACCTCTGATGTTTGAGAGGCCCGTCTTTACTCTGCTCCAAGTTTGTATTGCTTCAAAGGAATTTTGAGCTTGATTACTGTTCGCTATGTTCATGCTTTATACTAAATTCCTTACAAAGATCAATATAAAGTGAAGACGAGTGCTTAAGAATGACAATTACTCAGATGGCAAAAGAATTCCACTGAGGGCAATGAAAACAAGCTACTGAACATTGCAGACCTATGATTATTGAAGCTGTTTTCCACTTTCAAATAAGTAGATCAATGACCTACTTTCCATGCTGAAGGCCTCTTGAGTATTTCACGAAAAATCCCCATTAACATGATTAACATGCTAAAAATCTGCACTATGATCAAGACTTTCGTTTTCAGCAAAATATAAAACAAATGGAACACTCTGGATAATGAATTATAATGAAATAAAGGATATTGTTACTTAATAAAATAAACAATTAGATTTTGGACAATAAACTTGTTAATATATTCTAGTCCGAATGTCCTCTGTCAGTTTTCTAATTTATTATACCATTTTTTAATGAAAAAGGTGAAGATAACGAATAATGATCGATCTAAAAATATCCATAAACAATACAAATCTGTGAAGATGGTATAAAACACGAACTCCTGGAAATACCAGATGTGGGATCAGGTGCGTAGGAGGAGTAAGCATCCCCTGTTGACCGGTGTCGCATAATATTTGGTCCGCCTCGTTTAAAGGTCCGGGGGGACCTAATACGATAACATATAAGGTCCGGCCTGCCTCTATAATAAAAGGTCCGCCTTCGGTTTAATATGCAGATTTTTCTCCTTTATTGATTCGAAATTAATTTGCTTTATTAATCTTTTTAAATTATTTAAGGTATAGTTGTTATAAAGTGTCCCTCCCAGCAAAATGGAGTTCCAGGGACGTACATGTATGTACATTGTATATATACTAAAAGGAGCAAGTCTTGCGATATCTCGCTAGTTGCTGGATTTTGTTAGCCAATTTTAATTAAGGAATGACTCTAATTCTTGGCCAAATTATTCGAGTATAACCTGGTTTGGGTCAGTTTACGCTTTATAATCCGCGAAGCGGATTATAAAACAGCGTAAACTGGCCCAAACCAGGTTATACTCGAATAATTTGGCCAAGAATTAGAGTCATTCCTTATAATTTAATTTTAAAATCATTAAATAACTATGGGTGTAAAATTTCGTTACTTTTTATTAGTTCAAATTTGCCGCTCAATAATACAACCGTAGTAACGGAAGTAACGGAAGTGATGGGAAGCGAGGGGAGGTAAAAACTGATACATAGGCCTAGCAGCCATGTTGTTTGGTTACATGTGGTAAGATCGAATTATCGTTTGAAATTAAAGGTACATTTATTAAATCTGGAATTTTCCATCAATCCCGAGGACTGGAAATGAGAGGACTGTATGGATACAGATGATTCAGCTGGTTGTCAAGGGGGTGTGTCCCCATACCAAACCAGGTTATACAGAAAGAATTTGTGTTCCTTTTTGGATATTAACCAATCAGAGGCTAGAATACAAACAAAATTAAATTATTTAATTATATTTCTAATACTATGATATATCTCAGTACAAAACCTCAAATTATCTATCAAAAAATTATTCAAAATTTGATGTTAGCACTGATTAACTGTTAGCTCCTTATCGTAGTACATACCTTCCAGGTAGTGCACAAAACAAAAAATATAAAGATGCAAAGATCTGTTGATCGAGTTACCTTATGGGAAAATCATGTACGAAATGTGTCTTTTATAGTTTGAGTGATATCAATATTATCATTACAAAATAAAAAAAAAAATACATATATATAATACGCATACCTTCACTGGCACATTGTTCAGTATATGGTGTTCGTAAGTCCAACAATGATCAATTCATTACAGTCTCTTTCCTAACAACGTTCGACTTCCACTTCCCAAAAAGAATTTTCATATCTTTCGAAAGATATTTCATTATATCATTAATAATAATTATGCATAATTTTTACGATTCATACTGTACCTACATGTAACTATAAAATCATTGGAGGGTCACTTTGACAGGGACTTGTGTTAAGGTGTACTAGCCTATCCCGTTGTTGTTAAAACAACATGTCTGTGCTTTGGGGGGTAGGCCTATTGTCTCACCTGATGAAACTTGAAGTCGCATATCCCCCGTGTTTTTATAACCATCGTTTCTTATCCAGTTAAAGATTAACGATTATTTCATTCTACTTGATATTACCCCGGGGTTAACACTGGTTAAGGAAGATGTGCATTAATTGGCAAAATCAAACCAAAGTCAATCGAGTTGAACATTTTAAGCAATAAAACACCCCCTCCCCCAAAAAGGAAAAGATTATAAATGGTGTTGTTGTATTTTTGGTGAGTGGGGTATAGCAAAATTATGCTGATACATGTCAAATAGTTTAAAAAGTTTTGATGTTGTAGACTTTCCTCCCGCATTAATATTTTTTTCCGGAAAAACGAGCTTGGGTTTAAAGACCTCTCCCCTTTTGGAAAATGAGCCTAGCATAGGATTTTATTTCGGGTTTTTTTTTA